AACCTTCCACAGACAATCCAACTCGCAATCCAATGATAGTGATCTTGAACACAAAGATAGGTCGAGTCGGTTTTCTCGAGCCGGAGGTTTAGCTATACGTGTTACTTCATCAGTGTTCAAAATAGTCAAGTTGAAATCGTCACATAAATCGTAAAAAATAGCCGCTCTATTGTCATCGTATAGATCGCCCCACCCAGTACCATGGGAGTTCATATTACCCATAAATAATACTGGGGATGGAAGAATCGAAACTAGATTCCAGAGTTGACTACGGATAATTGAGGTTCTTGGTGGAACATATACTAAAGCTATGCAAATATTTTTGTTCTTCACATTTATTTGGCAAGCGACGATTTCGACGCCGAGGTTACGTTCATTTACAATAAGCCCCGCATGTATGTACTACCTCTATCAATTGGATATTAGTATTAGGGGAAATGGCTCTAATGTTGGCCTATGGATCTAAGATTGGCCCCATCGCTAAAAATCTGCTATTTATCAATTTTATCTAGATAAATGCGTCATTGGGACGGTACTAATGGATATTTTTGGTTGCTATTGAAAATTTAGCCGATTGCTGAATTTATGTATGGGCCCAAATTAGGGACACTTAGGCCGACATTACATACATTTCCCCTACATACACACTTCCAGGTTAGAAAATATTCTTTTCAAACCTAGCGCGTATTTAGTTTAATTTTGATGTTTAATTTATAAATAATAATTGGCTCGGTCTCACCATGTTCCGCTGGTCTGCCGCCATTGATGGCTTCTTTTGGAATCCCTTGTACTTTTTCTCTAACGCTTCGTATTTCATTCCGCACTTCACTAGCAATTTCCTTCCGTAGCTCGTTCTTGGTCGGTTCTGACAAGATTCCGTCTTTTCTGGGTTTTTCTTGTTTTCCGAGGGAGATACATCGGCACTAATTTCGGTACCTGGTTCGATCATAGAGGTAACTCTAAGACTAGAAGGTCCCGAAGAAACGTGCTCAACTTTTTGGCTCAGCTTTGGTACTATCTTCGGTCCCAAGCTAATCGATTCACCCCTCGAAACATAGGAAAATCCAATAACCCCTCATTTTATATGTCAAACTTTCATAGCGAATCAAAACAAACATTGTGTAGTACTAGAATTTTGACTAGAATGGGGTACGTTAATCGATTTGCTTGGGACCAATAGGCTAGTCAAGTAGTGAGCCAATTTAAAATCGTTAAATTCCACCGGGTGGTAGTACCACCACTTGTGGCGCACACAATCAATTCCCTTGCGCTAGGCCAAAAAGTTGAGCACGTTTCTTCGGGACCTACTAGTCTTAGAGTTATCTCTATGGTACTACCAACTAAGAAACATTTAAATTGAACGTTAAAAACGATTTCGATGAACATTTTAAGAGTGTTATGTCTGCTTGTATGTGATCATACCTTCACAACTTCGGGTAATCCGCGAAAGGGCTTGTATTTTTCTCAGGCCCTTTTGATCTAACTGCAATCACTCTCTCATACTCGAAATGTGCCATGATGACCAAATTGGCACAACGACGCCCTATACGCTCTCTGACCAAAGCGCAGGGTGGGGAGAACGATTGCACAGCTGTATGAAAACACATTCACAATGTGCTCTTTAACCTTTGAGCACTCGCGCTGTTGTGCTTTGTACAAGACATGTGGATTTTCTGTTACCATTTTTTTGCAATACAACCAAGAAACTTGCTTTGAACAAAATGGCATAATTTTTTTTTACAATAATACCCTAAATAGCGTGGTAATATAGGACATTGAAAATCTAATCCGCATAAATGGAACACGTAGTATGCGGAATTTGACACAATTGGTTCCAATTCAACTCAATCAAACGTAATTTCCGTCGAGTAATGAACTTTTCAGTCTCGGAGCACTTAATTTTACATAACGTATTTGATTACGTCTGATCCTTTATGTCAAAGATGGCTTCCATCACGTGTAAAATTAGTTATTTCTAAGTGTGTAGGTTAACAAAAGTTCAGAATTCTCTCAGTACGCGGCGCTAATGTGCATGAATTGTCTGAATATGCTATATCTTCGAATAAAGGCCATACAGAGTATTCAGTAGGCCAATGACTTTTCTGTTAAGTAGGTCAGAATTTTCTCACCACGCGGCGATAATGTGCAAGTGGATTTCCAGAATATCTTGGGATGCTGGCCATATAGAACGTTTCTGTCTTAGGTAAATTTTGCTCGATAGTTTCAGGTTAGTATGCAAGTTAATTTTCTGAAAATTATCTATCTTGGGATCCAGTCCAGACTGGTTACAGCCTTCGACAAATGTGCTCAGTAGCTCAAGGAAGTTGATGTTCAGTAGGTAAGAATTTTCTCACACGGCGCGAGTGTTTAAGTGAATTTCCTGAATATGCTATACCTAGGGATCCTGTATGTATAGAAGGTTACAGTTTTCGGCAAATTTGACTGTTGGTTGGTGAACAGAAGCTCAGAATTTGTGCCAAGAATTGAGATAGTTCTTAACTTTTGTTCACCAACCTACAACCTACGTCACCTACTTAACGAATTTGCCCAAGACAGAAACCTCCTATATAGCAAGGATTCCACAATTTACTTGGACTCCAGCGCCGCGTAGTGAGAAAATACTGAACTTCTGTCTACCAACCAATAGTTCTTGACCAACTGAACAAATTTTCCGAAGACTGTAATCTTCTATATGGTCAGAATCACGAGATATTCCAAGGAGGACAGCTAGCCCACATGTATTGTACAAAGTACAACGTGCGATTGCTCGTAAAGCAACAACAAATTGTTTGGACCCTACTCGACGTAATCCTGCTTGGCCATCGACTTGGAAAATTCCTCTTCGATCCTTCGGATTCTTATGGTAATCTGTTTGGAAGTCGATTTGGAGAAACTTAGTTCTGCCGCCTTTGTACCTAAGCGCAACAGAAATAAACAATCAATTTGATATGCTCACGAATGATGAGAATGATCCAGGCAAAATTCTACTAAAATTTCCCAGCTTAATGCCAAGAAGTAAAAGGTTCCTCCTATTGCACCACTTCCGATTTCCATGCTCTTCGCACGGAACATTTGAACTTCGTTAAATTCAAGTTTTCACTTCAAATTGGCCCCGACGGTAAATGCCGTGTATTGACTGAAACCTTAGACGGATCAAACGTCAAACGCAGGGGAAATGTATGTAATGTTGGCCTATATGCCTCTAATTTGGGCCCATACATAAATTCAGCAATCGACTAAATTTTCAATAGCGACCAAAAAGATCCATTAGTACCGTCCCAACGACGCGTTCATCTAGATAAAATTGATAAATAGCAGATTTGTAGCGAAGGGGCCAAATATTAGATCCATAGGCTAACATTAGAGCCATTTCCCCTATTTTAATGTATTATTGAATTATAAGAGGCGATGATTGGCACGTCCTCCTTGCCCATTCGAAACACTGGTCCTTACGACATAACGTATTAGGATTCCCCATCGGGATCCGTATTCGGGACCCACATTTGGATCGGTATGCGGATTTACCATCGGATTCCCTGTCGGAATCCGCCTTCGCATTCCCTGCCGGGATCGGCGTTGAGATTCTTTATCGGGTTTCGCCTTCAGATTCCGTATTGTGATCCACATTGTTTCTTTGTCGGGATCCTGTTTTAAATTTCCTGTCGCCATCCGTTCTTGATTTCGGAATCCGCATTGCGATTTGGTATCGGGATCATCTTCTATATTCCCAATCGGGATTCACTTTTGGGTTCCCTGTTGGGATTCACCTTCGAATGTCCTGTACTATAATTATAATATTGTAATTGAAATAACGCCACTCACCTCCATGGACGAAGCAGCTATCTGTGATGATGTATCCGACCAGAAACGAGTTGAACGGGAATTTCCGACCAGACGAAACGAAATCCGACGAACAGCAGCAACAGCAACAGAACGACATCGAGAGCAAAAGTAAACAAACCCTCTAAAAAGGAAACTAAAACCATTGTGGGTATAGTATAGGATACAGCTTTGTCACTATATGGGCGAGGAGAGAGGGGGAGTTCCGTTTTAGAGCAAATTGTAAACAAACTCGGTCGCTGTCCCATACAAAAATCCAACATGGCTGAATCATGAATTTGACATATTAGAACACCTCTATGTAGTCACCTTGATTAAAACAAGCTGAAGATATGATTTGGCAACCCGTGGTGGAAATTTGAGATTCTATAATATTATATCAACCCAGCGGTGGGAAATCGGATTTTGTCGGGTTGCTAAACTAAATAGAGACCCGTTGAGGGCGTCATTAAACGACCGAAATCTAAGAGGAAGAGGTGACAATTGGCTTCTTCCTCTTTTATTTCTATCTCTATCTTTATAAATCTCTATCTCTATCTTGCGCACATGAAAACGGCCAATCAGGAGCTGGTTCACGTTTGACAGAAAAGTGGTTCATTTTCGCCCCCGTATTGTCACCTCTTCTCTTAGACCGAAATGAGAACCAGCGGTGGAGATTCTCTAAAGGCGCGGATGCTAGCCTCTTCACAGCAGCATACAAAGGTATCTGAGTTACGCATGCATTTATCTCAATTGCACCGCAGCTGACCTGCGAGTGATCCTCCAATGGATGCGAGTGATCCTCCAATGGATGGCGTCGTTGATTGGCACTAGATTGCGGAACAGAGACCGACGTTAAATAAAGAAAAGAAGAAGACCTGCGAGTGCAATGAAATAAAAGCGATATCGACTTATAACCACTACCTACATATCCCAGCTACATTCTTATCACCCTTCAGCTCTCAGGATTCTTCGGTTGTTTCTCGTTGTGTATTCTACTGAAACTGAGAAATATTCAATACCGCAAGAGAGATGCGGTGGGTTTTTTCATAACTTTTTGAGCTCTACCTATCTACCCTCAAAATAAAAAAAAATTAAAAAAACCGGAACCAAACACCTCTTAAGATATACTGCTTATTGAATTTTGCACCATGACTGATATCCTATTCTCCTCTTTTCAGAACCCATCTGCCAGTGGTGTCGGCGGGGTGTCCCTCCCGGGCAATCCGGAATTCTCGGCACCACGGAGGGAACCATCTTCTGTTCGGAATCGTGCTTCTCGCAAAGCCGTCGAGCTTCGTTCAAGCGGGCCAAAACATGCGACTGGTGCCGCCACGTACGACATGCCGTCAGCTACGTGGACTTCCAGGACGGTGTCACGCAGCTGCAGTTCTGCTCGGACAAGTGTCTCAATCAGTACAAGATGCAAATATTCTGCAACGAAACCCAGGCTCACCTGGATCTGAATCCACACCTGAAGGAGAAGAACGCTTCGACAGGTACTTTGATTGTGAACTATAGTTTTACATGTTCAGAAGTTACAGCATTGTGATTCGTTTTAGGAAGCCTAATAACCCCGGACCTATGGTTGAAAAACTGTAAAAGTCGATCGGCATCTCCGGGGTCGGATCGTTCCGAGTCAGTGTCTCCAGCGCCATCGATAGCGATGCGTCCATCACCGGAACCGTCTCCTGTGATGCAATCACCGCCACCTCCCAAGAAACCGATGATCTCCGTAGCACCTGCTTCGAAGCTGCTGTCGAAGAACATTCAATCCCCGACGGCCAGAAGTAGTGCCAAGGCCAATCGAAAACGCCGTCCCGGACTCCGTCCCATACAGCACACCGTTCTTCAGAATCGAAGAAACTCTAATCACAAACTGGACTACACTCAACCCAACAACAATAACAATTCCAGCGTCTTAAACAACAACTTGACATCCAGCAGTTCATCGATGCTATCGAAACCAGCCACCGTCACCAGCGGTGGAGTGCAGGATCTACGCGCTGGCATGCCAATGCCAAACCTACCACACCCGCTCACTCCGACCAAATTCGAAAATCGGGAATCTCCAAACACTCCTCGGCCACCACCACTCAACATCCCCCATCAGTTTCTACAATTCCCACCGAATCCGGGTCTGCGGCCACCGTTCTTTCCAATGAATCCCATGTTTCGATTTGGATCCCCACCAAATCAACATGCCATGCCACCACCGCCACCAGTTGGAACTCCCCTACCTAACCTAGATCCCTCATCGAATCGTCAACCCCACTCGATGCTGGGCTTCCCCGTCCCGCCGGTTACCATCCTAGTTCCCTGTCCAATCGTGATACCTCTCCCTATACCGATACCAATTCCCATCCCTCTGATCGATTTCCTCAAAGCGACCAACCCCAAATCACCCAAGGTGGAACCGGCGGTCAGTCAGTCACCGGTACATCGTCCAGCTGAATCACCACTGAACGATACCCGCGAGGACGTCAGCGATCCGGAAGACTGTCCGCTGGATTTCACCACCGTCAGCCATGATCAGCGAAGGCAACAGGAACGGGAACTAGCGACCACCCGAAGAAGTAGCTACTCGCTGGAGGCAGTCGCCGCCGGGAATTCAAAGCCAGACGAAGCGGACCGAAGTCCGGAGCACAAGTTACCTAAGTTTAAAATTACTCGCTTGAATATTAGGCGGATGGAGGAGGCGGAGGAGGAGGAGGCGGCGGAGGTCGGTGTAGGGGGTTCGAGGACTGCGGGAAAGGTTAGGGAGAAGCGATCACCCGAGGAAGAGGAAGCGGACCACTGCCGGGAGATGGTGGAACGGAGCAGACCGTTGAGGAAAAGGAAACGATTGGTGGATCATCACGAGGAGCTGATGGCTAGGGAGGAGGATTCAGCAGGTGCTAAAGGTTAATATCGGTTAGCCGGTAGGTTTTAGGTCGTAGGGTAACAGATGAACTGCGTCACAGCAGTTTGTGCAACCGTTGTTTAACTGAAAGTCGATGGGTATTGCACAAAAAGTAGTAGGTGGTGGTTTTGGTTGGATGTTTTACGCGATGCGGCTCAAAGATGCGTGTGGTTTCACAAAGAACTCTGGATTCGGGATTAGGTTTTTTTTCCCGTAAAATGGCCATGACTTTTTGACAAATGGAGAAGGCCTGGGATTATGTTTTTCTAAGCTTATCACACTTTCGATTTGTCCTACTTGCTAAGGATCTTTATTTTGTTGCTCAAGCGGGATTTGCGCCTCGTTCAAACGTCACAGCTAATCTGCCTATAGTAGTTATCTTTGCTTGATTTCCTATTTATATGGGACAGTTATGCGATTGTGGGAAGTAATATTTGTACGAACACGTGATTGCAATTTTGGAGTGCTTACTTGATAAGGCGTTTTGCCGGTGTTCTTTGCAGCACTTCCAGTCATTGAAAGCATTCTATCTTCTTTAGCATTATTTCGTCTTAAATTGGACTTAATGCCAGCCCTCAACTTAGTGTTCTAGGCGTACTTCCACAGTTATTAATTGAGAGCTTTCTGAGCCAGTACCATTTTTAAATTAGTATAATTGTGTGGCAAGAACAACTGTTGCCAACACTGCCGTGGATTCTGCTCGGGCATCGCAAGGCGTTTCGACGTCAACTACTGCAACCTGTTACCGTGGTAATCAATAGCAAATCTTATGTCGTTTTCGTTTTTGCGGTGTAGCTACACCGGTGCTACACTGCCGTACACCGAAATATTTTAGGGTGTAGATATAGAATGCACTTTGTTTACAAACAAATGATGTTGAGCTGTCAAAGACTCGCGCTTATTCCTGCTTACACTACACTAGTGCTACACCGCAAAAACGAAAACGACATTAGTAGCCAGTTTTGTGTGGAGTGATTTGTTTTCCTCATTCGTTGATTTGGCTCCCTGTTTAAAAGAAGTTTTCCTGAAATAAAATAGTGAAAATCGCTACGAAAAGGAACATTGAACGTGGTTTGTCTTCGTCTGCCGCAGACAGTTAACAGAAGGTAACCAAACCCCCGGCCGTCAATGGCCATGACTGTTACAACAACCATACAGGGAAGTCAGCCACCTACAGCATGGGCTTCAACGCCCCCGAGATCATTTTCAAAGCATGGGATATTCTTAGAAAATTAATCAAAAATCTATCCATAATCTGCTCATTTTTTTCCTTGATTTGTTTTCCGTCGATCTTGTTTTCCGTGCTGAGCACCATTGCTACGACGCAAGGAAGGCAGCTCCCACACCGGGATCCTACCTATCGACCCATCAACTCATGAACCGTGGACCAACGACTTTACTTCCCTTCCGAAGGAAGGCGTGATCAGAGATGTTATGCCTCAGAACATCCCGGCGGCACCGACTGGGATTGAACCCAGGCCTGCTGGGGTGAGAGGTAATCACGCTTACCACTACACCATCGGCGTCGCTATAATATGCTCATTGATGGGGGATTTCAATCTGCCTTCAATACGCTTCAGCACCTTGGAATTCGACACTACTTTATCATTCTTGGCCCACTCCGTCGCGATAGATGTAGGTTCTATAGTGGTCTCAAGAGAAAGAGGCAGTTAGTACCCCATTAGTACCTTTAATTCAAATAATGCTGCAACTACCACAAAACAAACTAAAGAAGTCTATTCATCATCCTCTATAGTCGGTCTCCAACAATGCTCCCCACTGGTTTCAACTCTTTCCGGCCGCTGATAGACCGATGCTTTTCACATCACGAAAAGCTAGGTTTCTGGTCTGCCTTTGAAGGCCTTACACTAAAACACAGGACTTTTATTGCCCTATGGAACACAAAACGCCACAATTTCGCACACAAGGCTGGTAGTGCTGATGCGGTATAATAGTAGTGACTTTAGTGACTAAAATTATGGAAATAGTGACCAAATAGTGACTTGTAAATACTCAATAAGTAACCATTTATATGGTAACTTAGAAATTCAAACACGGTTTGATATTGAAATAAAGTTTTTATGTCATGGAACTTAAAATCAAATTTCATAAATTCCTCTAATTTAATCGAATCTCATAACGGAATCTCCTGTGAAGAGCGTTTGAAGTGATTTGAATAATTTACTTTTGCTAACGTTATACATGATGACAATCAAATAGTAATTTCCAATTTTATGATCTTGAATTTGATTCTGCGTTCGAAATGTTTAAAATTTTGATATATCTAGGTAGATAATTTTGATAATTCGCTACGAACTTTTCAAAGAATTTCTTCAGAATTATCTCAAGAACTTTTTTAGAATAATTTCCTTTCTCTTAAACTTAGAGGCAAATAAGCTTTTACAAAAATAATATTGCATTCTTGAAATTCTTTGCAGAACAATCAACAAAATTCTTGGAAATAGATTATTTTCGTAGTTGGAAATGCTTAACATCAAATATCAGAATTAAAGTGGACATTTTATACGATAGATGAGGAGATGAAAGTAAAGAGTTGATAGTTCCGTTATAGTACGGCAATGTGAAATTTGTATATAGAAAGTAGTAAGCAAACAAACAACAATTTTGAGGAAGGTATGAATCGGGTAGAGCATCTCCTTTACCAAGCTCATCCGGTAATGATGGATGGTGAGGGGTGTTTTCCCTGCCACCACTCGCAAAAGGAATGATTGCCGATTTGTTCATGTACCTTCGATGTGCGGAAACAGTTCTATCGATTGTTTCACACTCAAGTCGCCATCTGACGTAAACAACTACGCGATTCGTACCTTCCTCAAAATTGTCCAATTTTTCTACAATTTTCACACTGCCGTGCTATAACGGAACTATCAACTCTCAAATTTAATCTGCTCATCTATCGTATAAAATCTCCTCTTTTAGTATGATATTTGACGTTAAGCATCTCCGACTATGTAAATCGTTAAATTCACGCATGAAGTAATGACACATCATTAGTTAAATTAGATTATTTTCGATTTCTTCTTACATAAATCCATTATAAATTTATTTGAATTCTCCTTAGAACTTCAATGCAATTATCCTCAGAAATATCATTAATTTCTGCGTAGACAATAATCTTGGACTTCTCCCTTGCATTTAATTGGAAATCTCCTTAGAACTCCCACTGTATTTCCTCATAATTCTCAAAACCAAAAATCCATCACAGAATAACTTTGAAACTCTTCTCAGAATTCTTTTGAGATCGAAACCTCAAAATTCGATTCCATTGGAATTCTTCTGGGAATTTATTTTGAACTCTTTAGAATTCGCTTGGAAGTATCTTCAGAAATCACCCCAGAATTCTTTTAGAACTATATCCGCAGAGACCATCTTTGGAGTTCCCGGGATTTTCATGGAATTTTCATCAGAGCTAAGCAAAATTTCAGAACTAATTTTGAATCCTTATTAGAATTGGACCTAGAATCCTCATCCAATCATCATGGAATTCTTCTCAGAACTCTCGTTAAAATGCACTCTCAATTATATTGAAATTATTTCCAAAATTGTTTCGGAGCTGAATTTTGCGTCTCTAATAATTTAAACAATAATCAAAAGCGACGGTCGTATGTGTTAAGCCAAATTTAACTATATAGGTAAACCTGGCTTAAGATTTAAGCGGAGATGAAGAAATCGGTCCTCAGAGCACTTAATTTTACATGAGACTTTCGTAGTCTGTACTTTGGTATTCATCTCTGATATATCTTGGTGTCATCCTTAGAATCCTTTAAAATTCCCTTGAAATTTACTTTGGATTTTTTAAAAAAACTTTTGAAAATCTATCACAGACAAATACCTTTGGAAAGTTTCCAAGGTTTACCATTTATTTTCTGGGAAAGGAGGTATATTTTCCCCAATTTTTAATATAAATTGAAAGCATTTCCCAAACGTTTTCCTGGTGTTCTAAAGTTTTGCGGTTCACTGGTCCCTGGTTAAAATTTTCAATGTTTTAACAGATATATATATATATATAAATATATTTTTGTTTAAAACTACTGTAGACTTTCTTAGTGCCAAGTGCTCAATTTAAACATTTTGTTAGTATTTTTAAATTTTCCTCTATTTTAGTAGTGAAAAAGTTACTTTAGTGACTATTTTTAGAGAAATAGTGACTTTAGTAACTTTTTGGTGTAAAAAGTGACTTTTTAGTGACTGGCTTCAAAATAGTGACCAAGTCACTAAAAAGTGACCTGCTACCAGCACTGCGCACACCCGCCACTTAAAGGGTCACCCTTAATCCGTTTTATCCTTGCGATTTCAAACCAAAACATTCAAGATGTCAGAAATACCGGGTTGCCGGAATGGGTATTTTACAAACAATCGCAGCTTGCTCTATGACCGGCACAATCGGCACACAGGCAAAAAAGATGACCGAATATTGGTGTGCGGAGTGACCTACCCCTTGAGCTGACTAGTTTCTGGTTGACATAATCTTATACAAAAAATCAGTTCAATTGGTTGTAACAGCTGAGAAATTAAGATGGGTGGCCGGCAGCATCCATCGCACTCTTCGGTGGGTTTGGATCATATACCAATCCAGGTTGTATACTGGGCCTTATTACGGGTGTCACTACACGGTGATAAGGAAGTGAACTCAGAATAAGAGCCGTGATTGCCTTACAAATCAAATGGGAATCACTTCACCGTGACGACAAGTGACAAGTTTTCACCGTGAAGTGACATCTGTAATAAGCCCCACTACTTGGATAAACCTGGGAAAACCTGATATCTTCAGAGAATGTTATTATTTTTGGAAAAACCCGAGGAGCGATCAATTTCATAAATCACACACACACTTTCAGGCCTATTCTGCGCGGCGTGTGAGGTGAGGTTACACGCTCTCACTTGTGAAGTGACAATTATTGTCACCTCGAGTGAGGTGACTCTCCGTGCAAATCAAATGAAGAGTCACCTCACCCGAGGTGACAATTGTCACTTCACCATCACTTCACTGTTACTTCACCTCACACGCCGCGCAGAATAGCCCGGTTTGGAAAATATACTAAAAAATACGTTAATGCGTACACGCTTAAACCCTAATACCGTAATAAAAATACTCAAAAATATCTCGAAAATACTTTGTACACAAAAAATACATTTCATAATGAATTTAAAACACTTTAATACACAAATACACAAAACTTAAAAATAAAAAAAATACGAAAAAATACAAAATACACCTTTTCAAGTCGGGTAGATGAATCGAAAATACTCAAGTTGACAACCTCTCGGAAAAACCTGGAATTCTCATGGATTTTTCAAATTCCTTTTTCATGCCAATTTTTGTTA